TCTTCGAAATCTATTTGAAAGGGCCCTTTACATTTTTAGAAGGCCCTTTAAAATTTGAAGAGGCCTTCAATTTCCTTAAATTAAATTGTTCTGGGGCCAGGCACGGCCCATGTAAAATTTTAAAAATCCTTAAAATCCTTAAAATTTTGAAAGCCCTGTGTCTGGCTTTCAAAATGTGAGAGAATTTAAGGAGGCCTTTAAAATTTGAAAGAGCCTTTTAATTTTTTAAAGGGCCTTTTAGATTTTTAAAGGGCCTGTTGAAAATTTTAAAAGCACCCTTACATTCCTTAAATTTTTGCCAGACACAGTGCGTTCAAAATTTTAAGGATTTTAGGGATTTCTAAAAATTTAAATGGGCCGCGCCTCGCCCCAAAATAATTTAGTCTCTTTCAAAATTATAAGGAGTTTTAGGAATTTGAAAGAGTCTAGGGGGCCTTTTAAAATTTTAAAGGGCCGTTTAAAATTTTAAAGGGCCGTTTAAGATTTTAAAGGGCCGTTTAAAATTTTAAAGGGCCGTTTAAAATTTTAAAGCGCCGTTTAACATTTGAAAGGGCCGTTTAAAATTTGAAAGGGCCCTTTACATTTTTAGACGGCCCTTTAAAATTTGAAGAGGCCTTCAAATTCCTTAAAATTAAATTGTTCTGGGGCCAGGCACGGCCCATTTAAAATTTTAAAAATCCTTAAAATCCTTAAAATTTTGAAAGCCCTGTGTCTGGCTTTCAAAATTTGAAAGAATTTAAGGAGGCCTCTTCAAATTTTAAAGGGCCTTTTAAATTTTTAAAGGGCCCTTTCAATTTTTAAAGGGCCTTTCAAAATTTTAAAAGCACCCTGAAATTCTTTAAAATTTTGAAAGCCAGACACAGGGCTTTCAAAATTTTAAGGATTTTAAGGATTTTTAAAAATTTAAATGGGCCGCGCCTCGCCCCAAAATAATTTAGTTTCTTTCAAAATTATAAGGAGTTTTAGGAATTTGAAAGAGTCTAAGGAGCCTTTTAACATTTTAAAGGGCCGTTTAAAATTTTAAAGGGCCGTTTAAAATTTTAAAGGGTCGTTTAAAATTTGAAAGGGCCCTTTAAAATTCCAAAAGGCCCTTTAACATTTTAGACGGCCCTTTAAAATTTGAAGAGGCCTTCAATTTCCTTAAATTAAATTGTTCTGGGGCCAGGCACGGCCCATTTAAATTCTTAAAAATCCTTAAAATCCTTAAAATTTTGAAAGCCATGTGTCTGGCTTTCAAAATTTTTGAAAGAATTTAACGAGGCCTTCAAAATTTTAAAGGGCCTTTTAAATTTTAAAAGGGCCTTTTAAATTCTTATAGGGCCTTTTAAAATTTTAAAAGCACCCTGAAATTCTTTAAAATTTTGAAAGCCAGACACAGGGCTTTCAAAATTTTACGGATTTTAAGGATTTTTAAAAATTTAAATGGGCCGCGCCTCGCCCCAATATAATTTCGTTTCTTTCAAAATTATAAGGAGTTTTAGGAATTTGAAAGAGTCTAGGGGGCCTTTTAAAATTTTAAAGGGCCGTTTAAAATTTTAAAGGGCCGTTTAAAATTTTAAAGGGCCGTTTAAAATTTGAAAGGGCCCTTTAAAATTCTAAAAGGCCCTTTAAAATTTTAGACGGCCCTTTTAAATTTGAAGAGGCCTTCAAATTCCTTAAATTAAATTGTTCTGGGGCCAGGCACGGCCCATTTAAATTCTTAAAAATCCTTAAAATCCTTAAAATTTTGAAAGCCATGTGTCTGGCTTTCAAAATTTGAAAGAATTTAACGAGGCCTTTAAAATTTTAAAGGGTCTTTTAAATTTTTAAAGGGCCTTTTAAATTTTTAAAGGGCCTTTTAGAATTTTAAAAGCACCCTGAAATTCTTTAAACTTTTGAAAGCCAGACACAGGGCTTTTATTTTAAGGATTTTGAAAAATTTAAATGGGCCGCGCCTCGCCCCAATATAATTTCGTTTCTTTCAAAATTATAAGGAGTTTTAGGAATTTGAAAGAGTCTAGGGGGCCTTTTAAAATTTTAAAGGGCCGTTTAAGATTTTAAAGGGCCGTTTAAAATTTTAAAGGGCCGTTTAAAATTTGAAAGGGCCCTTTAAAATTCTAAAAGGCCCTTTAAAATTTTAGACGGCCCTTTAAAATTTGAAGAGGCCTTCAAATTCCTTAAATTAAATTGTTCTGGGGCCAGGCACGGCCCATTTAAATTCTTAAAAATCTTTAAAATCCTTCAAATTTTGAAAGCCATGTGTCTGGCTTTCAAAATTTGAAAGAATTTAACGAGGCCTTTAAAATTTTAAAGGGTCTTTTAAATTTTTAAAGGGCTTTTTAAATTTTTAAAGGGCCTTTTAGAATTTTAAAAGCACCCTGAAATTCTTTAAAATTTCGAAAGCCAGACACAGGGCTTTCAAACTTTTAAGGATTTTAAGGATGTTTAAAATTTTAAATGGGCCGTGCCTGGCCCCAATATAATTTCGTTTCTTTCAAGTTATAAGGAGTTTTAGGAATTTGAAAGAGTCTAAGGAGCCTTTTAACATTTTAAAGGGCCGTTTAGAATTTAAAGGGCCGTTTAAAATTTTAAAGGGCCATTTAAAATTTGAAAGGGCCGTTTAATTATTTAAAAGGCGTAAGAAATTATTGGAAGGGAAACAGACCCGTCAAATAATACATAAAGGTCCTACGTACAAACCCCTATAGATCCCATTATAAGGAACCCTATAGATCCCTTTAAGGAACCCTATAGATCCCTCTAAGAAACCCTATAGATCCCTTTAAGGAACCCTATAGATCACAGATCCCCTCTAAGGAACCCTATTGATCCCTTTAAGGAACCCTACAGATCCCCTTGAAGGAACCCTATAGATCACAGAACCCCTCTAAGGAACCCTATAGATCCCTTTAAGGAACCCTACAGATCCCCTTTAAGGAATCCTATAGATCACAGATCCCCTCTAAGGAACCCTATAGATCCCTTTAAGGAACCCTACAGATCCCCTTGAAGGAACCCTATAGATCACAGATCCCCTCTAAGGAACCCTATAGATCCCTTTAAGGAACCCTACAGATCCCCTTGAAGGAACCCTATAGATCACAGATCCCCTCTAAGGAACCCTATAGATCCCTTTAAGGAACCCTACAGATCCCCTTGAAGGAACCCTATAGATCACAGATCCCCTCTAAGGAACCCTATAGATCCCTTTAAGGAACCCTACAGATCCCCTTTAAGGAACCCTATAGATCACAGATCCCCTCTAAGGAACCCTATAGATCCCTTTAAGGAACCCTACAGATCCCCTTTAAGGAACCCTATAGATCACAGATCCCCTCTAAGGAACCCTATAGATCCCTTTAAGGAACCCTACAGATCCCCTTTAAGGAATCCTATAGATCACAGATCCCCTCTAAGGAACCCTATAGATCCCCTCTAAGGAGCCCGATAGATCCCAGGGTTTGGGGTCACAGGTAGTAGGTAGCGCTTAGGGCCCTCGAGCCGATCTCCAGTCTGACGCATGGCCGGCCAGCCGCTGAAGATTTAGGGTCTACCTGGACCCTAAGGAACCTACCTTTTTAGGGTTCCCTAATATGATTTCTTTATCTAAGTCCTTGAAAAGGTAGGTTACGTGGGGTTAAGGTAGGACTTATGGTTCAGGGTTTAGGGTTCAGGGTTTAGGGCTTAGGGTTCAGGGTCTAGGGTTTAGGATGTAGGGTTTAGGGTTTAGGGTCTAGGGCTTCGCGCTTAAAGGGTTTAGGGTTTAGGGGTGCTGAAGATTTAGGGTTAGGGCTTTGTGCTTAAAAGGGGCTTAGGGTTTATGAAGATTTAGGGTCTAGGGCTTCGTGCTTAAAGGGCTTAGGGGTTTAGGGCCGTTTAGGGTTTAGAGTTTGTTGGGGTTCAGGGTGTAGGATTAAATTCAGGGTTTGTGGGAATTCGCGCTGTCTCATGGTTTAGACGTTGTAAACCTTAAGGGTACTGCAGGGTCTTTGATACAAATGTGCAGTACTGTAAGATGCTATGGGTGATCTTAACATGCAAAGGGCGGCCCGAAGCATCCAAGCCCTTGTCAAGAGGCTGAGGATTAGGGGGGGGTGAATGCCGTAGTATTTAGAGGAGTGTTTCGGGGTTTGTTCCGTCATATGTGGGGCTGTATATCGCGAAACTATTAGTAATATTCCACCCCCCTATTCTGGAGTTTCTACAGTTTAAGGGTGTTGGGGTTTGGGAAATGCTGGGTAGTGGCTTCTGGCAGTTTGGTACTAAAGCGTTTAGGGTTCTATGCTTAGGGTATGTTAGGGTTTTGGCTTTCGGGGGTGTGATAAAGCTGTTACGTTAGCCAGGATGTTGCCGAGATGGTCGGCGGGCCATGCAGCAGGTTGCCAATGACGCAGCAAGCGGCGTCTCTGCGGTGAGGATGCCTGAGGGTTGAAGGTTCCTGGTAATGCATACTTAGCATATGTATGTGAGTTTAGGATCTTATTCCGGGGACTATGAGTTTGAGTTACTTGCACTTGAGGGTAAGGCCGACCTAGGGTAGTTGTGCAGTTGCACTGCCTTTGACATCAAACCTCATGAGTCCAACCCTGAATTGCAGCATGCCGTGTTTGGGCTTTTAGGGTTTAGGGTCGTCGGGATTTCTTGGAATCCTCGCCGTGGGATGCCCCGTCCGTCCTCGCGAAGGGCTAAAAAAGGGCCGGGTTTATGATTGCTGGGGCAACACAATAATTAGAGTTGCGGTTGTGCTCGTGGGGTATAGTTTGTACCTGGACATGGTTTTGTAGTACCTTTTGTTGGTTGCTTCGGAATAACTAGATTTGTTCGGTAGCCTATGAAAGCTTGGTTTCTGTTCTTGAAGATGTCTGACATGTCACCTACACCCCTATGGACACAGAAGTCTTCTTTTGGCCGACCACACCACTGCTTTCATCCTCCGGTGTCCTCTTGTACAAGCGGCGAAATAGAGGGATCTTGTATGTAACCATAAGACATGCACTGCTTTGACTGCTGATAATATTCACTTAGATCTCCTCCATCCACTTTAACTTTGTGAACAGTCGCCACTTCTGCCCAACACGGAGTGGAACTCCTAGCGGATGAACTGTACGAGAGCTTTGCGACACTCTGCCCACGTAGTCTTCACTCATTTGAGTTGAAAAGATGACCGGGTTCAAGTAGAGGGGTCTGCCCGGCTTGAGCTTCAATCCATCCCGAACATGCAACATATAGTGGTATTTGGGAGTTAAATTGAAGTATAGCATCTTGGCTTCCAAACATCGGCCAGCACATTCCACATATTTGCGGGCGAAGATAGACAACAAACGGTGGGCTTCATGAGCTTGCTTTCGATCGAAGAAAGTGCGGTCTCCTGTGAAGCACAATCTCAAAAAACTGTCCATTGCACTCAGCCATTCGAAGGCTGCACTGGAAACTTCATTCAGCAGCCACGGTTGCTGCAAATATTCCAGCAACCATTTCGTAATCAATATCGTGTCCGATGCTTTCCTTACCAAACATCTAAGAAAAGGAGTTCTAGAGTTTCTATAAAGGCTATATATTTGCAGACTTCATAAAACAAAAAACAACCCAATCACAAAATACAACCTTCAGTGCAGGCAAGACTCATCGATGACTCTGGCATTTCGTTCAGGCTCTCCCACCCCATGTTCTCACGTGTAAAGTCTTTGATGTGAGGCGTGTCTTTCAAGTTCAATTTGCAGAAAGAACGAAATTGTTGGTAGGCCTGGTGCAGCTTTGCTGGCATTCCAGTTCCGGAACTCGACGGAAAATGCCCTTGCACACACAAGTAACACAGCAATGAAACGACTCCTGTGCGCAGTATGCCCAGATGGCACAAGTGAAAAATATCTCTGCAAGCGAAAACCTCTGTCTCAGCACCAGGGATCTTGGTCAACGGGGATGGCCTCCTCCATGGTATCTTCACCCCAACTGTGGAAGCCCATGTAGCTGTCTCCCGATGGTCAGAATATGGTACCTCCCGGTCGTCCGCCAGGCACCAGGGGCAACAGGCATTGGGAGAACACGTGAAATGGCGAACAAGATGCATCATCCTCGCTTGGGCTGGTAAATCACCTTCAAGCCCAATGAAAGCAAAATAGAACCGCTCATTGTCGGGGGTAGCTGCACCCTGGTAATAAAGTTGCCGGCAATTCGTTGCAATGTGCTCGCTGATGCTATCCAAAATAGCATTTCCACGCTCATAGCCAACATTCTCACCTTTGTATACATCGGCAAGAATGCTTGTGAAATAAAAGCAGTGGTGAGGAGACCCAGGTAGGTGTTTGAGGATAGGCCCCCAACTCATTTGCATGATTCCATGCTTTCGGAACGATGTTCCTTCATCTGCGTGCAGGCGGCATGGAATAACCTTCTGCAGGTTTCCACTGTGGTCAGTATAAACAGGATGTGATGGATTCTCATACCTATAGCCCTCCCAAAAAGAGGAGAGAGTGTGAGCAACCACTTCCCGAGACTGTGCACTCTTCAAGTCATTACCGAAACATAGCTTCTGTGGAAAGCACTGCAGGATTTCCCGGGCCAAGTCTGCCATCGGCAATATGTATTGTTTTGCAGAACCCTCGGGGAGCTTCAAATCAACCTTCACCATGTCTGTTTGCAAGCTGAAGCCCAATCTTCTAACATTGTTGACAAATACAGATTCTTTGTCAGCAACACTTTCATGTGCAAGCCCCAACTGCTGCATCACAGCATGGCTTGCACTTCCAGGATGCATAGTTCTGCTGGAATTGTATGCCATTGTTGAAGCTGTGCAGGCATTGTGTGCCTCAGATAGCAAGACAATTGTTGCAGAACAGAAAGCCAAAGTAACACCGTGACAATTGCCACAAGGGTACCAAGTAGTCCTGAAGCACATTCTTGACCAGCTCATCACCTGCGAAGGACACGATGTTGTAATGAACAGTTGAGAGGCTGAGAGAGAGGCAGTGAGTGAGAAAAAGAGAGCGAAAGAGAGAGCGAGAGAGAGAGAGAGAGAGAGAGTTGGAGAGAGCAAGACAGAGAGAGAGAGAGAGTACATCGGGGAGGGAGGGGTGTAGCATGGACAACAGAGGAAAATGATATATCCGTATATACAATTAATAGCTATCGAACTCAAGTAGCACTGGTCAGAATTCCTATTGGCCTAATAACTTCAGTGCACAATACGACAAACCCAACCGAGAGAAAGAGTACATGTAAAATGTAATCATAGGGCGAAGGCGAGGTTACTTGTCTTGCAATAGAATCAGAATGATTATATTCGTGGGGCTAGTGCAGATTCCAACCATGCTGCTGCATGCAGAACGCAGTTCATGGAGCATGTCATTTGTCTCCCGGCACACTTGTGCGTTGAAGCACACATCAAGAGCACCGTACCCCAGATTCGCATTTCTGTTGGGTCGTTGCACTGCAGTGAGTGCACAGCCTTGCAGCGAAGGCTCGCATCTAAATCTAATTGTCTCTAAGTGGGACTCAGAGCTTCCTTCACGACTGTGTTTCGTAAATACGAATGCAAATGCATAATATCTAATATAGGAAACTCAGCCACCTAGTAAAACCCCATCAAAGAACAGCGTAGCTCAGCCCGAGGGCTCAGGATTCGGCAACTCGTCCTTCACCGGTGGGCGTGCCTTCTTGGGCAGCTTCTTGAAGTGTGTCCTGGGATAATGTTTGGAGTTTGCATGGTGAGATAAACACATGTGCAGGTTGATTCGACTGCAGCCGGGAGTCTTAAGTGCATTCAGCTCATTGTTGAACTGCAAGCATTTGTCTTTGATGCGCTTGGATAGCTCTGCGAAAACATCCTTGCTCCTCAAAACGAAACCAGAAAGTAGAAACATACTTTGCGAACACCAATATGCAAGTCATCCACACGATCATCTACAAGGCGAGCTACGAGCCCTTCTTCTCAATCTCCATGCTGCACAAGTTCTTGTACATCTCGTTCAAGGTGCCTTGTATACTCTCACTGGCGATGGGGGAGGGCTTGCACCCACAAGACAGAACATCATGTCTTTAGTGTGCCACAAAAGAGCCCATGGTTGCCGAAAGAGCTTGCTGGTCTTCCCTTAGACTTCACACAGAACCACTCTAACGATACTTGCATTCTCTGTACTCAATGCATGCATGATTACCCTATATCTTGATCCCAGGATCTCATGGCCACGACAACCATCGGTCTTGATGCGTTCGATGGCTTCTTTGAAAGCGGCTCGGCGATTGAGAAGATATTTCTTGTACTTCTGCACAAACTGGTCTGGGGTTTCTGGGCCTTCGAGATCCGGCAGCCCACTGCCACGTCCCGCCGGCTTCGGGGGCTTTTTCTCTTCAGGACCCTCAATATCAGATAACTCAAGGGCATCACCAACTCCCTCGTTGATGTCGAAGCCCTCCCGGAGGTAGCCTGCGATCACGACTAAGGTGAAACCACCACTGGATGGGCAACGACATGATACAGGATGCACTGGTGACTGGACTACATAGATTGGGTTTCTGGGTTTCGAGTTACCTTGCAAAAGACATACATCAGAATTAGCTATAGGTCAGGTTACACGAAGGGGAATGAGATGACATATATTGCCCCACCACCCATCTCTAGATACAATATAATAAATCCTGTGCATATATGTATGCGACATAAACCCTTATCAGCCCAAAACGAAAGCCCTCAACCATCTGTAAACTTTAATATCATGTAAACCCTATATACACCCCCACCTGAGTTCTCCAGCAGTTCTTCCAGCTCCCGCAGTTTCTCGTAGCCTTGCCTGCCAGTACATGACATGATCGTGTGAGCAGCTGCGAGACATAACGAATGCAATCGAGAGAGAGAGAGAGAGAGAGAGAGACAGAGAGAGAGAGAGCCAGAGGCAGCGAGAGAGAGCGAGAGAGGAAGACACAGACACACACAATCATATGGTCAGGTACATGCGTGCAGCCTGTATACAAGAGCATACAAGTGCGGTCCAAGTTGCTCCACACGATCACTTGTTAAGACGAGATATTTTCGAACATTCTCATACAAACACTTTTTGTAGAGGCGCTTCTTCTCTGTGAAACCGATGGCTCCGGAAATTTTTGTCCTCAGGTTTCAGGCGAATCACAAGTGGTGTGTGTGTACATACATATGCACACGTATAAGAAACTGCAGTCAAGAAGCTCCGGCCAGTGCCTCTCATCCCTCATCTCACGTTCGGTCAACCATTCGAATCCAGAGACTCCCTTTTTCCACTCACGGGTTGTCTGGCGAAGCTTGTACAGGGTTTCCAAGCGGCCCTGGCCAGTAGCAGGCCATGCAAGTATGAATAGAAACATATACAGTGTATATATATATATATATATGTATATGTATATATCCATATATATATATATATATACAATATATAAATATAAATATATATATATATATATATATATATATATGTATATATATATACATAAATAAATATATATATATATATATATATATAGTGAAAAACACAGCCTTGTTGGTAGCTTGGTCAGCACCCTTGACGTAGCACTTCTCCACGAACTCTTTGATGAGTTTCTGTCTCGATAGTCCACCTGGCAAGATGGCAACACAGCTCACCACAAGTTTTTAATGGTTTATAGAAGTACACAAACACTCTCAACGACAAGCCTTCCTTCCATCGCTTCACGATTTCGGGGTCTGTCTTCGAAGCTCCCGCATTGCATATGCGATAGAGAAACGCCCAGGCATCCGGGCAGGTGGTGGAGTTGAAAGTCGTGAGATTTGCATGCCTGGGATGGGGCTCATTTAGAATGCTAGCAAAGCGAACATGAAGCGATCCTATCAGCAGCAACTGCACACACTGTGCATGCACCATGTTGTGTGGGCACAAAGCAATCAGCGCACTCAGTCACTCATGAGGCTCCATGTTTTTTTTTGCGAAACATTGAACTCAGTCACTCCTGGGCTGGGTTGCCATTGCTCACAGGGGCAGAGGCTGAGGCTTCAGTTGATCTCGTCACTTTTGGGGGGCCCATTGTCTCTGCCACCTCAACCTTCATAGGGCTTGCTTCTTGGGATTGGTTTGCCTGGGCGTGCGAAGTGGATGGCGGCGGAGGCGGAATCGAAGGCGGTGCTGGGCTGTGCTGCACTCTTAGCACAGCTTCTGGTGAGCACACTCCTGCAGGGACTGGGTTTGCCACTGGCGGGGGCGGTGGGAAAAAATACGTTCCCGGCTGCGCTAGCGGAGGTCCAAGCGGCAAAGAAACCCCTTTGCCCTTTCCCATACCGGGAGTGAAGTTCATCGGCTTTGGCGTGGATCCATTGGTAGGTGGGCTCTTGGCTGCACTCGGTGGTGCACTTGGTGTTCCTGACTTGGCTGCAGTGCTTGGTCTTGCAGCCTGGCCAGGGCTCGGTGCAGGGCTGGGTGTTCCAGGACGCCGGGTGGGGCGGGCTTTCGGTGGAAAGCCTTCGGTTGGAAGTCGTCCTGGCGGCAGCGGGATGGTAAGCCCTTCATAGCGACTTTTCTTGGGGTTCGGGGCAGGGGTCATAACACCATCTGTTGCGGAGCCAGGACTAGACTGGGCCCTTTTCCTGTTGGATCTCATAGCAGTCATTTGCTGTTCCATTTCTTGCTGCTCTGCTTCATTCAGTTGCGACATCAGGTGTTGAATCTGTTGCATCTTGCTACTGGAAGCAGGCGATGTAGCAGCGACACCTCCTGTAAACCCTGCTGAAGCGACAGGTGGAGGAGGGGGCATCGTTGGCTGCACTGGGGGCGGGGGGGGTGGTGGGGGAGGTGGGGTTGACTGCACTGGTGGAGCTGCTGCCTGCTGCTGCTTTGCCACAGGTTGCGAAGGTCGGGCTATCTCCTCCTTCACTCGCTGACCCTTGTTGCCCTTGCCACTCTCCATGGCTCTCCCCGGACCTGAGAATACACTTAGTTAAGTTTGTGAGAGACATACGTTCTTGTTACAACATTTACACACAAAGACATGCATTGAGTGAGGGACTTGCTTTCTCCAGCAACTTGGCGACCAAAGCCCTGCTCTCCGGATTATCCTGAAGCTTTTGAATCAGGTCCCGTGTTCGCGGGGAAAACAAGGCCAGGTCTTGACACCAATGTGGTTCTTGTTTCACCTTAGTCACGTAGATTAATGTTGTATGTAAGAGTCACATTCACCAGCAGGCACTGCATCGACAGCTACAGCTCGGAACACTTGGGCCTTGGCAAGCAACGACATGCAATGCAACTCACACTGTCACATGCATCTGCACAGATTGAGGTTTGCAGGGTATATTAATTTAAACATACATACATGTATGATTTAACATTTCGTCTGTGCAGATGCAAATCACGTGAACATGGCAGTCTATCCATCCTGTGTGTTGCAAACAAACTATCTAGAGATATGGTTATATTAGACTGATATGAAGTTAGGTCACAAAATATTGCAACACACAGGAGGTCACAGATGTACAGGTGTGCAATCAGCAACTTCCAGCACATGTCTATCTGAGGACGAGTGGCAACTGGTGCCGGCACTGGACACTCTGGCTGCCATTGCGCCTTTAGTGCTGCTTGGCCAGCCATGAGGGAGCTGCAACTCCAGGCCCTGGAACAACCACGCAGATCCATCCGGCAAAATCAATCTAGATTGAGCCACTCAGAATCAGGGCACATCTCTGAGCATCCTGTGTGTCCCTATAGCACATTCAACCGATCAGACTCTTGAGGCTGTGGGTGGGAGGCACCTGCTTCCTGGAGCTGGATGCCGAACTTTGTCGGCGGACCTGCAGACATTTGGGAGTGCAGGGTTTAAGGGTTATGGATAAGAGGGCTATAAGGAGGACTCTTGGTTACACAATTAATTGCATCAGGGCATGAACGAACTTCACTATACAGCACTGTCGAAGAATGCTTCATGTTGTAAAACCAATATACACAGTATCATACATACTTGTGTGTATATATATATATATATATATACATATAGATGGTACATGACTCAAACCTGCGTGACCGTGTGTGTGTGTGTGTGATCTGCAGTATTTAATATCTCCGGGAAGACTGACAATTACACACACACACACACACACACACACACACACACACACGGTCACACAGGTTTAAGTAAATGCACATGCATGTGTGCAATACATACCTGTATACATATATATATATATATATATATATGTATACATGTGGCCACATACACACACATGGCTTTAGCAGGTACCTTCGGCAAAACACACAGATCACATGAACATGGCACATGTAGAAGAACCCCATGTCAAAGGCGAAACACCCATACCCAATGCTATATATGTTAGAATATAGAGCTCTACACACTTCACCAGCAGTGTTCATCCCCAGGCACAATCAGTACATTTGCATGTGCATAGATACATGCAGATCCCAACCCAGGAGCTCCAGCATCATCAGCCCACAGCCAGCAACTTTGGCTGGGCGTCTCAGGTCGGTTCTGGGTTCTTCAGAGGTTTGTTGGGCTGTACTTTTCTACGATAATATATATATATATATATATATATATATGTAGATATACAGCTCTTTTCTAGGGTTTCCCTGTGATCAATATATATATATATATATATATATATATATATATAAGTATATATATATATATACATATATATATATATATATATATATACATTATACATATAATATATATATATATATATATGTATATATATATATATATTGATCACAGGGAAACCCTAGAAAAGGCTATATATATATATATATATGATATATATATATATATATATATATATATATATATATATATTATACAGAGCATATGTTTATATATATATTTCAAGTATATATATATATATAGTATATATATATATGCAATATCATAACTGCTGGCTGTGTATGTATTTGTAACTTTAAGGAGAAAGGCCAATCCGGTGAGGAAACTAGTTTCCGGCCAGGGTGACTGGTTTCCTGGGTGCTACTGGTTGCCGGTCTTACGTTGCACACCCCCGTGTCCCTAGCTACTAGTTTTCTACAGGGAGGAAACTAGTTTGCTTCGGTTGCTTGGGGTGGCTACCAATGGCTTCCTGGTTCCCACTGTGCCCGCAAGGCCCCCGCATTGAGCGACCCCTACCCCAAAGCTCAAGTAACTAGTGATTCCGGGCCTCAAACTTAAGATCTCCAATCTGACTCAAGATTGCGCGTAAGACTGGTTTCCTGCGCTGTAAGACTGGTTTCCTGATGGTTTCCGACGCGTCCTGAATTACTGGTTTTTGCTCCCCGGGGTCCAAGCAAAGCTTTCCTGAGCGTAAGGGGCCGAAACTAGAAACCCAGAAGCCCAAACACCTAACTTCCCCGTATACCCTGATAGTAGAAAGGCTCCAGTCTACATAAGATAACATAGCAGCCCTGGCTACCAAGAAACCTCTCAATCAAGCCCCTGAACAAGCCTGCGAACCACATCCCCGTGAGCTATTTTCAGTTAATATATATGTTGGAAGCTGCCTCCACCCTGTAATAGTGACAATATATAGGATAATATAGGATAGGGCTATATATTATATTCCTATATTATACCCCTTATATTACAGGGTGGGGGCAGCTTCTAACATATGTGCTACAACCGAAAGAACACTGAAGCTTTGCTGTTCGCGAAGCACGAAGTGTCTGCAGTCACCAATTATGAATTCTTGCAGTGTCAGGAGGCCATGAAGAGAAATCTGTATGTATATATACATATATATATATAAATATAAAATATCTTATGTGAGCCCAAACGTACATATGTGAGCCCAAACATACTTATTCGGAGTAGTTTATATGTAGCTCAAAACCGGCCTGCTAACACATGCCCAGAACTACTCTCAGCTCCATAGGAACATTCAATCCTGCAGCCCCACGGAGGTATTTGCAAACACTGGGCATGTCTGCATCCTCCCACAGCTCGACGTCATTCTTCATGCTGTGGATCAGCACTGCCTCTGGGGCTGCACCATGTGCCTGGGCAAGCAACTGTTCGTTTGAGCTTCGAGCTTAGAGGCTGACTATATATTCGGGATTATTAGGGTTCAAGGGGTTTGTAGATATCCAAGCTGCTCTGGGGCATCTGAACCCTTTGACACCTTCAGGCATCGTTGGAATCAGCTGGGCTAGCTTGTAACCAAACCCACAAGGATATTGCCTCAGCTGCACAACAAAGGAGGAATGCCAGCACAGCCAGCTTAGCAAGCTTGGGAGTCCGTGCAGCAACAAAAACATTACCAAAATTCGATGAAGAATACTGGCTCCCTTTCAACTTATCCCTGATCCCAGTGGATCGTTTCTTGCCTCTGGCATCTCTGTGTATTCGACTCAAGGCAGTTGCAGATTGACGGAGCTCCTCAGTGGCTTGTTGGCACACAGAGAATGCGATCAGTATTTATGTACATATGTATGCATGTGTATATGTGTATATGGGTGGGTGGGTGAGTGGGTGGGTAGTATGGGCTGTTGTGGGTCAAATGACGAGAATGCTTTGACCCACAAATCTCGCCACCCAAAGAACCCGCTGAGGCTCATAATGCTCACCAGCCCCGTGCCCAAAGTACCTGCTGATGCTCATGATGGTCGCCCCTGTTGTGGGTCAAAGAACGAGACTGCTTTTCACCCACAAAACTCGCCGCCCAAAGAACCCGCTGAGGCTCATAATGCTCGCCTGTTGGTGGTTGGTGGTGGGCAGGGGCCTGGGGCGGGGTGGAGTCCGGGGTGGGGCAGGGTAGGGTCGTGTGTGTGTGCGTGTGTGTGTGTGAGTGTGGTCTGTGTGTGTGTGTGTGTGTGTGTGTGTGGGTGTGGGTGTGGGTGTGTGTGTGTGCATACATGATGGAATTCGGCCTAGATGCATATACATCGGCACATCGGTTTCTACTTGCAATCACCCCTTCTCGACATGTCTTGCTGTCCAGCAGCTTTGGGAAGCCTGCCGCGACTCAGATATAGGATGTTAGCAGAGTTGGACCAGAGCGTGGTAGCTTTGCACGATTCGGCTCCATGAGCTCGCATGTAAATCTTTTGCTTGAAAACCTGCAGGCACTTGGAGTACTTATAAACCAATCTAACCCGTCTACCCAAAACCCCAAAACCACGAACACAGAATCCAATACTTTTTGCAAGAGGGCACAAATAGAATCTCTTCACACAAATGACGAAATCGTGGCATGTCCCCAAATTTGGCACTTCCTGGTTGCTCGATTATGAAGCAGTGCCCGAGAGCAGCCAGCAGATGGGCCAGCAGGACCACCCTGCCAGTCTATACGAAGCCACATCTAACAGAAGGCACACTATATATAGCATGCAAACTGTATGTGACTTCACAAGCAAAGGAACCTGTTAGCAAGAAGGTTGCCGACCCTGACGAACTCATAGCTCGTGTCGCCCTCTGGCTGGAACCAATGTCTCTGTGCTTTGCTTGAGGACATAAAAGAGAATGATGAGCAGACTGGAGCTAGGATGGCTAAAGATTGTGGTTGCAAACGCAATATCCCCAAGATGGCCAGCCTCAGTATTGAGAGGGACTAAATGCAGCAGCAACAACAACAACAACAACAACATAGGCACACCTGTTCGAACTCCCAGCCAAGCAGCGCCATCCCACTGGGAGTCAAGAGGTTATTGTACTTGCCACCATAAGAAGCATCCAGCTTGAATGCAGCAAAACCCATCACTTTGGCACAAAACGTGGCATTCGCTTTGCCAGCAAAGAACTCTCCAAATCTGAATGCCTTGGCTCTACACAGAGTTGATGAAACTTCCCACACCAGAAGGAGGGGAACAGAACCAACAGCAGACTTGCACAGTACCCAGTCAAGCTTCCCATGATTTGTCCAGCTCATCCATGTAGAAGATGAAAAGAATGCAAACACAGAGAACCTGAGCCCACGACTCTTATCGAGTATGACACAAGTGAGAACTACGCAGGATCCGAGGCCTCCTTCTTTCCCACTCCCTAGTTTCACTACTCTATATATGTTCAGTCTATCTGTTAGACCAATACACCCCACCAAGACATGTACGTAGAACTCCGCTATAGAACATTAGCTGTATATGCAGTCGAAATGCATAGGGAAGTCTCGCACCGTACATCCGGTGCACCAATGGGGGCAGAAGCCAAGACTTCTGCTCTGCAAGTTCCATGGAGTATAAGGCAGCTACTTGGAGGGATGATCCTCATGCAAATAAACTTCTTTGAGGTGATTCAGAGAGTTGCAGATGTGTACTATGGAGCTTTACCAAGCTTTCGGCTATCGGTCATGAACAGCTGCCGACACAACTTGAGCAGTACACTACACAGATGAACCAAACAGCTCCTCGTGTGTGCCCGAATCTGTGCAGACCTAACCCACCTCGATCAGGATCTGGTTGCAGCCGCTTTGTGCCACGTGGCATCACACCGAACCTCGGCACATCAGGGGAAGCATAGAGGGGAACGATACATAGTTTGCACTCCCAGCAGCAGGCTACCATCTCCCTACCTGGATTTGGCTTTCAGATATACACACTATAAGTTCTCCAGGACCTTACAGGATTATGATTTGATCTATATACGTATATATACATATACGAAAACACTACTGTATATACATATCTCATACACATATAGGGTTTGTGTAAGAAACTTCTACAATAAAGAATGCAGCTAACCAAATCCACGGAAGATGGAACTCTGTTACATTTTCCCAAGCGCTCAGGAACTGTCATTGTCGTGTCATCGCAGGGCCCTCCTACCCCCAAGAATTCTCCGTCTTCCTGGAATTCGGAGCAAGCATTCAGGGTGAAGGTTCCTGCTTGCACGAGCACCCGAAATATCAGCCAGAAGCCGTGTTCTCACAGCCCCACTGATCTGTCGGCCCCCAAATTAAGGAGCAAAATGCCCCGGAACATTGAAATCTGCAGCCTGTCCTCAGACCCTGCCCTCGCACTCCTTTGCAAGCTCAGCCTTGCGAAGGTCAACGTACGTCGTGAACTTCTCGGAAGTCCTGCCGACGCCAGCTTGCAGCATCTCTGCCTTGGCTGACAGTCTGAGAGAGGGAGAAAGAAAGAGATAGAGAGACAGAAGAAGAAGAAGAGAGTGAGAAAGCCAGAGAATGAGAAAGAACACATGTGGAAGTGAAGCAGAAAGATCAGGAGAAATTGGAAAATCACAGCAGCAGGTGCTGTGATTTTCAACATGACATGCTGCACTGCACGACCCCATCCGGAGTTCCTTCTATTCATAATGCATAGGCCTAAAGGGTATATTTACATGGTATATTATTTATCTAAACATATTAGGACTCCAGAAGGGGGTTATATGTTCTGCTGTAAAGATACGACCTCTGAGCACAGGCGGACGCCTGCTTCGAATGATTTGCAATCGGTCATGTAAGAGCTCGACCCATCACGACAGCGCACTCCCACAGAGCAGCGGGTCCAATACGGTTCCACTCGATAGTTCTTCTGATGAACGAGAAACCTGAAATCAATCAGCTCCAAACTCCCAGGCACTGCATGCTATCATTTAAAAACACAAACACATGAACCTACCCAACTACATTAAATTATAAACAGTATGCAACACATGCCATCCCAAGGACTTTGCTCTGATCTCAGCCCTTTCTATCAGAGACGGACCCCTCCACGGCTTCTCACCATCTTTGGAACTACCAGGCTTCGTCTGGGGTTCCACTGCCTGGTCTGGGCACTTTCGCTTTGCAATCATGGAGTTGGCACCCTTCGGCTCCTCATCAGAAGCAGTGGTCGGTGCCTTGCGCTTATGGGCCTTCTTGGGCTTGCTTTCAATATCTTCACAGGCCTCCTTGGACCCGACAGCCACATCAGCATCCTTGGGGGGGGGCTGGCAGCGCTTCTTAGCCTTAGGCTTCTGTGCTACCTCCATTGGGGATTCCTCTGCAGCTGGCTGATCTTCCTTCGGAGGAGGGGTTTGGTCCTCGCTGGATTCCTTTCCCTTCCTGCCTCGCCCACGACCACGTCCAGACCCACGTCCAGACCCACGTCCACGCCCCCCCTTGCCACGACCAGAGCTGGCACCTGGGGCTTCATCACCAGCTCCTTTGCCCCGACCACCCTTGCCTTTGCCCTTTCTTGCACGGGCCTCAGACTTTCTGGCCTCCTTCAAAGCAACCTGCTCTGCATGCTTCAACACATACCCTTCAGGTTCTGTATCCGTTGGCATTGGCACTGCAGCTGTACCCACTAGCTCCGGCACAGCAGCACCATCAGCTTCCAGCCCTGACCCAGGAGCTGAAACCCATGGATGCTTCTTTGAGGCTTCTGCCTGGCACTCGCTCGACACCTGCTCGAACTCAGGCTGTAGATTTCGAGCAACTTCCCCACTCCTATCGAGAAGGGTCTTGCAGAAAATCATCTGCTTCTTGTCATCCGAGATAGGGGGCTGCAAATTCTCCGTACTCTTTCTACGGCACAACTTGCCTGCAACATCAGGTGAAATCGGGGCAGGCTCAGGCTCCACTCGCAACTCACAACCGGTTGCTGGGCTTGCTGTGGCCTCACTGCACAAACCTGCTTTTGCAGGCGTATCAATCAACCAGCCTTCCAAATCCCCTACACGAACTTCATCCTCGGACAGAGACAATGAAGATCTTCGCAGAGGCATCTCAACAGCAGGTGACTTGGGAAGCACAGCACCTTCAACAGAACCAGTCGTATGGTTGTACTCATAATACCTGGTCGGTGGGGCAGCAGGTGACCTGAGGGACACTCCATTCTTTAGCAATTGCCAACATTCGATTTGCAAACACACCTACACATTGACAAGGCACTCATTGACCGATATTGGCGATGGCGACAACGTCGAAGGCATGTCTCCATTTGCCTCAGTCATTATCATCTGCAAACATATAAATATATATGTGCATTCATGTACATCGAACATTAAACCATGTTTGTATAAGGCACATCCATCATTGATGGTGGCAGTGTGTCGTACTTGTCCACATCCACACCGTACAGCCTATATAATCCGAGAGTTCAGGGCACAGTGGGACAACATCAAACGGAGAACCGGAATTGTGCCTGGCATTCTGGCGCTTGAGCAGGTTCAGAATCTCTTCCTTGTCGTCCATCTCCACATCAAGCTGAGCACCTGTAAAAAACACTCCGATAAAGGACTAGAAAAAGTACTAACCCACATCTGCCCGTCCATCTAACTATACACCCTAAGCGTCGATCTATTCATTTATATACTGCACATGCCTACACACATACGTGCACACATAGATGCATGTATAAAAGCACCTGTGTACACATACACATACACTTACACATTTACATCTACATTTACATATACATACATATACATATGTGCTTCTGTACTTTAATGTAGGTTTACATATATTCCCTGAATCCAAACTTCATAAATGTAAAACTCCATGAATTGTTGACAGCCACTAAATATTGGTGTCTATATGTCTATATGTCCATTACCATGTACATGTGTACATATATGTCCATGTATGTGTATATGTGGGTTATGATCAGAAAGGTAGACATGTAGAGACTCTATATGCATATATATATATACACCCACACATACTGCATGCACCTGTACATGATCATTCCACACAACCGGGTCAACACACTTCTCCCTCTGCATGCACCTGGCGTCGCAGCGTCAATCTCAGCCAGAGCAGCTTCCACTGTGTACTCTCCAGCATTCGGAGCAGAATCAACACTAAGGATGCTTCTGCTTGGGGAGTGGGATGCATCCTCTTCATCCGAAATGGACACCATCAGGGGCTCATTAGTCGGGCTAGGAACGGGAGCATCATCCATCAAAGGCTCCACTGGAGCAGCCATTGCAGCTTCAGGCTCGGCACCATCCTGCAGGGGAGCCTCCTCACGACTGGCACCCTTGCGTGGCTTAGCCTTGCCCTGTGCCACACGTGTCTTCTTCGAATAGCGCGGTGCGACTGACAAGGGACACTGCTGCATGGTGCTGCAAACTTGGATGCTCTTGGCATGAATCTGCTGCACCACTTTACGAAGCTCCACCTTGCCAAACAGCAACAGCTTCAAGCCAATGCATGTGGGGTTATGTGACAGATACAGCATTTTACAGAATAAGCTTGTGTTGTATGCATATCCCCAGTAGCTGTCACAGAACCCGCTGGATGTATCCAATGCAGCGTACTGCATTGGATTAGTCATGGCAGCACATGCAGGAGATATATAGGCCAAGTCGCCGTGAGCTTCTGGACTTCAGCATCACGATTGGTCTCGGATCGATCTGCCAATCCTGAGCATATCGCGATGTATAAACATGTTTTATAAATCAATATAATCAATATATGTTATACAGCCGAAGCCACGTCGATGCACCAGCACTGCCGTCTTCAGTGTGTGGCTATCCCGGTTGATCGAACCAGGCTCCACATCAATCTGCATTGCATACACCCATGAGATCTGTATGTGTGCATATAAGACAAATTGCTAACACTTCTGCAAAACTGCTGCACCCAAGCCTTCCAATCCTCGACCACTTTAGCAAGGATCTGCTCAAGTACCGGGACAATGATGATATCTGGATGCTGGAGGGAGCGACCAACCAAAGGCAGCAGGAGTGCCTTGCATCAAAATGGCCGGCATTGGACTGATGATATACAAACATTAGCTGCATGCAGCCCTTGCAACCATGCTACACGGTTCAGCCTAAGGGTAATCGCTGTGACCTTCAGCTCAGAGCCCTTGGGCACACTCTGCCACAACACAAACTTCTTCTGCATCTCGACCCTGGCTTTCAACTCGTCATCATCATGCCATGCCTTCCGGGTGAAGGCCATGCAGTGCACCCTCACACAATCAGAAATTTAGTACTGAGT